ATCCCCGGAAATTTTAAGACGTAGTCCTTCTCACCCACGATAAGCAGTGATGGAGCTGAGACTTTTGGATCAGTTAAACCGCAATCTACTGCCAAAGTTCTGCAACAATAAAGGACCTCTAGTGAAATGATATTTAGGCATATATTGCATTTTAGATAGAACTAGATTATATGCTTCCTCTAGCGAAACGTTTTATTTCTTGTTACCTACCTGTAAGGAACTCGCAAAGGATAACGGAATCCAGATTTCTCATACAAAGATGCATAGACTGAGAGATCTTCCTCAGAAAACCATGGTGGTAGAGGAGTTGCAGGGTCAAACAAATCCATGATTTCTTGATCAGCAGCAGCTATTGGAATCTCACTTCTAGAGAACAGAATGTAGATGTTCCTTATCACCGTCTTAACATCAAAGCGGCTGAAATCTGCTTCTGCGCGCCCCACCGGCTCCTGGAGTTAGGTAAGAATTTAATTAGCAGTATTATCGTAGTCAAACCTTGTAATGATTAGAACAGAGTTGGGAAAAAGCTTTGTCCTGAAACTGAAGATGTTGATGGCAAAATGAATGTACCTGCCACCTTGATATGTAGAAGCCTTCAGGGAGGAGATGATTTTGGACAGCAGAGGGGCCTGGTTGGATGAAAGGAATACCTAGGGTTATGACGCCGGATACCCGCTCTGGGTGGAGAGCAGCTACTAGGTATGCAGGCAAAGCTCCAAAATCTTTCCCAACAAGAAAGGCCTGGTTCCAATAATCAGATATTGAATCTTTTTAGGGTATACAATACAAGTAGCTTCAAGTTCGTATACTAAATAAGTATAGAGTAGTATTATAAACGAACCATGTGAGTTGAAAGATTTATGTATTTTGTATTGTCCTGAAATTTAATATACATAGCCTTATCATCAAGAAGAGCTGAGGGTAATTTTTGAGGTATCTTTCACAGTTAGAGGAAGTAATGATATTATATTGTTTATATGAGTCAAGGTTTCTAACAATTGTAAACAATTTGCAATTGCAGACTGTCTTGATTCTCATGAATTTGTTCTATATAATTATGTGAAAAGTTACAGAAAACAAAAAACCCTACATCTAGACTTAAACCACAGCCGCCCCCTCTCTCTTTTTTGAGAGCCTCTCTCTCTA